CATAGCGGCGTTTTTTGTTACAAACGCCGCTATATACAAACCTTTAGCGGCGTTTTCAGGATACAAACATCGCTATTTACTAGACCATCAGCGGCGTTTGTATCCTAAAATGCCACTATATACCAGATCTTTATCTGCGTTTTTATCCTAAAACCGCCGCTATATACCAAATCCTATTGCGGCGTTGGTAAGACAAACGCCGCGTAATGTCAAAACCTATTGCGGCGTTTACAAACGCCGCTAAATGTCCACACCTATTGCGGCGTTTGTAAGAAAAATACCGCTAAATATCAACAAACGCCGCTATATATCGTTACATATTGCGAAGTTTTTGGTTCACAAACGTCGCGAACTTTAGCGACGCTATTTTCAGCGGCGCTTTTTGCGGCGTTTGTCATAATGCCTCATGTGTTTTTTTTTAAAACACTACAAAAAGACAGTTTTGTTGTAGTGAGTGTCTCCACTAATTATTGGACAACGAAATATATCCACTCATCTATGGATATTAGATTGTCTCTACTCATCCCTAAGCTAAATATCACATAGGCTTGAAACATAGTTTTCCAAAACGGTTATGCATCGAATGCAATCCACATATCATAAATCATATCACATATTCAATTCACCTTCCATAAATCATATTCTTCCAAAGCATCATAATTCATAACCAACTCATCATGATACATGTACATTCACAATGATCATTTACATCTCATGCTTCATAACTCATAATAAATCATGCTTTAATGTACATGCTTGCAATAACCACTCACTTTCAATTCATCATGGCTAATAATTAACATACTTAAATATAAATGCTTGCAAATATCACTTAATTCCAATACGCCACAACTCGTGATCAACTTATCATATTACACATGATTGCATAAATCATATTCTTTCAATGCCACAAATCATGTCACAAAATACATGCTCCTTATAATCACTTACTTAAATCAAAAATCATGAATTCACATCATTAATCAACAACAAGTAAACAAGTTTAGAATCTTATATTTAAAGCTCACACATGCTAAACCTTCATTCAACATTAAACACATTCATCACAAATGAATGGACAACAACTCACCTAAATGGCGAAACCATACGATCCAACCCCAAACGCTAACCAAATGACCACCAACAATTGATGCACCATTTTTTACAAACATAGCCATATTAGGTTCCCTAAAAAATAAATTCAACATGTAACAAAACCCTCCAAAACAGAGCAGAAAATTTTGCTTCTAAAACAGAATGAAAATCGAACAAATAATACAAAAACCTTACCATCCACGCGATGTAAACATTCTAACTTGAGAATCTTTGCTTCGTCACACTTAAGCTGAACCTAAACAATCATAAAATTGATTTAAAACCCATTAAATCTCCCAAAAACAACAGCCAACATAAACATTCCTGGATTTCCAAAAAATCATTGAAATCGTCATTTCTTGCTCAAATCAAATTCATTTGAAAAGTTGTTTTAATAACATTATATTCAACCTTTAAACATCTTAAACCCATAAAGAATCAATATAAATACAATCAAGAAAATAACCCTTTTTTATTTAAAAAATCAACCCAAAATGAAATATTACCAAATCACTTATGCAATCATGTATTACCCATTGATATCAAAATCTTTTAATTGAAAAAGCTTAAGGAAACCAAGTAAATAAGCTTACCTTGCTGGAAATGGAAGGAAATAAGATAGAAAATATGAAGCATAAAGTTGAAAAAGAAGTCTAAGAGACCTCCAGGTAAAATCGGCAAAAAATGAGGATTAAAGAAGATGAAAAGATTATAAAATTTAGAAAGGGCAGATCAAAAGTGAATAAAAAATTAGAAAACGAGATGGGCATTTGAAAGAAGTTTTGTTAGCCATGAGAAGGAAAATCAAGGAAATAAAGAGACTATTTTGGGTTGCACAAAAGATGAATGATAAAGGGTGGAAGTTAAAACTAACTTTTGATTAATAAAATAACATAGTAAAAAGGTGGAAATTAAAACTAACTTTTGATTAATAAATTAACATAGTAAAATTCATAGATAAGGATGAAAAAAAAAACACAGTGGAATTAAAAGAAAAAGTGAACAATCACAACCTTGGTGAAATTGATTTATAGAATTTTAAGATTTTGAAACCATTTGATTTAGTCACCTAATTCTCTTATTATAAAAAATAATATAATTTAGTCATTTAAATAATTCAATTTAGCTTATTAAAAATCACAATTAATATTCAAAAATCATTTTGAAATATTTTAGAAATATTTCCCACTTCAAATTTTGAAAATAATATTTTTCTCGAAAATCACAGAAATTACCGGATTGTACTGACCCGGATTTTGAGATGTTACAAATCAAACCTAGAAATATCCTATTTTCTAAGGGAAATTCATCTAAATTAATCTCAAACACTTATTTAAGCCCTGAGGTGATGTTTAAAGCTTACCGAAATCAAATGGGGACATATAACAACATTTAGAGGCATGTATAACACCAAATTCATCCACAACTCATCCACAAGCAAATAACATCGAAGTATTCTTCAAACATTCATACAAGCAAAGCTACACGCAACGATCTATAAGTATTATAAATGAGTTAGAAGTATGTTATTTTATTCTTAAGTGACTAAGAACTCGAACAACTCATTCAAACACAGATGTCTTATTGTTCTTGTATTTGAAGGTCTCTATACTTCTTTACCTAATCATACAAGTAAAGTAATAGCTACCAATTCTCTTGTTACTTTAAAAAATGTATATAAATGTTAAAAATTGAGATAAAATGACCTGGTTAGCTCAAGGGTCCCAAAACCCTTCAAAAACCTTGCCATGACCACTATTGTCAATCATGGAAAAATAGAATTTGAATTGAAGTTCTAGGAGAGGAGATTACAACACATTTCTCCACAAAGTTCAAACTAAGAATGCAATATAATAAATGTGTTTCCTTTGTTTTTTCTATAAAGTTTTGAAGAAGAAGAAATTTGGGTGAATAAGAAGACAAAGATGTGATTTTGGGAGATAGAGGAGTTCAATATTTTCTCCTCATCTTTACCTCGATGACCTCATCCCATTAACTGGAAACCGACCTTTGAAACTTTCAAAGATATAATTGCAACAACAATGCTTTCTCATTTTTTTTTTCCAATTCAAAAACTCATTTTTATCACTACGGGCTCAAAATCTATAATGTTACATTAGTTTTATCATATTAATAGGTGTTGAAAATCATCTCAGATAAATCATGTTTGAATCACGATAAAGTTATTTGTCAGTGTACCTTCATCATTATATTTATTTTTATGTTTGTGTTGATAGTATTTTTTTTCACCGTTCAATGATGTTTGTTTGTATCTTCTATTCCTTTAATATATTTAGTTGATTTTTTTAACTCATTTTTGGTATGATTTTTTTTATTAGGCTTAATACAAAAATAAGTGCCCAAAGTATATCTTAAATTAAATTTAGGAGCCTAAATATTTTTTTGTTAAAAATAACTACATAACGTTTCTGACGTTACACTTTTAGTTACCTACTGTTAACTTTGACAATTAAGTCACACATGTCAGAGTTATAAAAATTTAAAAAATTTAAAAATTTAAAACAAAAAACAAAAAACATATTTTTTTAATAAAAAACCTATTTTTTCTTAAATCTCCAAAAATTCAAAACACTAAAAACCCTAATTCCAAATCCCTTTATCCACATACGTCGGATTCCATCAATGTTGCCTTGATTGTCGTCTTTTGCCGTGGGTCACTTCATCTAACTAGATTTTAACGCATGATAGAAAGAATAATTGCTTGAATCACTAGAATCATCGCCCTTACGGAAATCAATAAGTCACTGCAATCACCCATTTTTCGCTACACATCTTCTCTTGAATCATGGGGGATTCGATACTTGGGTGTTCGAGTTGTTCCGCGCCGTTGAGTTTTCAACCGATTGATAGCAGTTGTGACGGACGATGGTTGTGAGGGGAATGAAATTAAGGTTTTTCGAGATTTTGGTTTCTTTTTATAGTTTCAAAATTTGTGTTCTTTTTTAAAATAATAATTTTAAGTATTTTTAAATAAAATTTTGAAATTTTATATGGCTAAAACATGTCATTTAGTAGCTGAATTTTAACGACGTTTACTATTTAGACACCTAAAAGTGTGACATTAGAAACGCTAGACACATATTTTTAATGAAAAATTCTTTAAGCACCTAAAATTAATTTTAGGTATATTTTGAGCCCTTACTTTTACATTGAGTCTTTTTATTATTAATATTTAATTTATATTCTTTGATAGTTTTTTAAATAATTAAAGTAATTAATATATTCTAATTTCTGTAAACAATTTTTAGAAATTATGATTTCAATATATTTGTTTCTTTATTCAATAAACCTAGTTGGTTTATTAGTAAAACAAATGATTTTTTTTATGAATTAACTCCTTTAATTCAGCTGATAATACGAAAAAGAACCAGAAACGCGTAGGATTAAAGAAAAGTATTTCCTCAAAGTCAAAAGTCAAAACTCTCCTATTGAGACGGTATTTTCAGTATCTTCGATTCCATCTCCGCGAGAAAACAACTTTCCGAGAATTTGCAAAGGAATCCCGACCTTGATCAGCTGGGAACGAAGCTTGATCTTAAAGGACTCTTTCCATCTTCTCCTCTCTGTTACTCTCTTAACTCCAAATACTTTTTATTTTCTTACTTATTTAAGTCGTAAGCTTTGTTGCCCGCCGTTTTCCTAAGGAGAGAAAGAATCAAAAAATCTTCAAACCCTCCATAAATTTCCCTTTCGCCCTTAAATTGATACACCTTTTTAATTCAGTGAGGGCGTCAGAGTAGACAAGTCTTCCATAATTTTCCTTCTGAGTTCTGATACTTCCCTTCTTGTTATTTTAATATATGAAATCTACCCTTTTTCAGGTTTCGTTTCAGGGTAATAAAATTTATAGACTATAACGTGTTATGTGAAGACCCTTTTTCCACATGTTTTCTGGGATTTGCTCCGATTCTTTGGTTGTGGGGTTGAATTTATTTTGTAGGAGTTAGAGGTTTTTGTAAAATAAACAAGCGGGAATATTTGAATAGAGATGAAAAACGAGGATCAAACAAGGTTTCTGTTTGGAATTTCGCTCACAGACAGACCGAAATGGCAACAGTTTCTTATTTGCTCATCTGGGTTCTTCTTTGGTTACCTTGTTAATGGCGTTTGTGAGGTTTGTTCTCGCTGTTTTTTTTCCTTCCAAAAACATTATTTGATCTTTTATTCTTGATAAAATTACATGTTAGTGTTGTTTTGAACCCGTTATTACATCTGCAAAGGTTTCTCTGTTCTGCATGTCCCTTTCATGTTTCTGTGTTTGCTTGCTAAGAAAAATTATGAAAAGTAAAATTTAGGACATTGTATTTTTGTATTATTTGTTTGTAACACTAGTTTCTCTTTATTTGCATTTTCATTGGTTTCACTTGTTGATGCCTTTGGTCTAGTGATTCAGAATAATTTCTTCGGTTCGCTCTGTTTTTTTTAAATTCCCTTTTTACTCTGACGATCGATGTGTTATTTTGTTTTATTGCAGGAATATGTTTATAATAGGCTTCAATTCAGGTTAATTCTTCATAATTTCTCCTATTTTGCCCTTTTAATTTTGATTTTTTCTTGACTTAAAATCTTTGAAACGTTTCAGTTTTGGATGGTATTTTACATTTATACAAGGATTTGTTTACCTGATACTGATACGGCTTCAAGGGTTTACTATGAAACAAATGGTGAATCCATGGAAGACATATGTGAAACTATCTGGTGTTCTCATGGGTTCTCATGGATTAACCAAGGGTTCATTGGCTTACCTTAACTATCCTGCGCAAATTATGTTTAAATCTACAAAGGTAACAACTCTGCAACTTTTTTAATTTTCTTGTACTAAAGTTTAATTTTCTTCCTTTTTCATGCAATGTGATTTAAGGTGCATGTTCTTAATCTATGCCATTTTGACTAACAAGTGTTTTGCTGTTGTATGAAATTTTTCAGGTTCTGCCAGTTATGATTATGGGTGCTTTTGTTCCTGGACTGAGAAGGAAATACCCATTTCATGAATACATCTCAGCTTTGCTTCTTGTGGTTGGTCTTATCCTTTTCACCTTAGCTGATGCCCAGACATCTACAAATTTTAGCATCATTGGTGTTATAATGATTACGGGTGCTTTAATCATGGATGCCTTTCTGGGTAATTTTCAAGAAGCCATTTTCACCATGAATCCGGAAACAACACAGGTTTAGCCTTAAAAATTCTCATTTTTTTTTGAAACTTGGAATAAATAAGCAAATGAAATAGTGACAATTTTTTATGAATATGGATGATTTATCTGCAGATGGAGATGTTGTTTTGCTCAACTGTAGTTGGGATTCCTTTCTTACTTGTGCCAATGGTTCTAACTGGAGAGCTCTTGAAGGCATGGAATTCTTGTTCTCAAGTAAGCAACAATGCCCTTCTTTTATTTTATTGATTGACTTCTTTCATGCACCCCTGGCCTCCTGCACTGCCAAGGGCCGGGGCTGCATGAAATAATATTTTATTTAGGTGACCTAAACTTGAAGTCTACAGTTTTGAAGTCATGCACAACGTGGCCTCTAATTCAGCCTAAATTTCTTCATATTGGAGAAATCAATGATTTAGTAGTTAACCATTCCTTTTAGTGTTGAATAACAATTTTCCAAGCCTGGCTTACAAAGATTTAAAGATATATATATTTTTTTGTGATTATAAAGTAGTATATGTTCATTATTTTCTTAGCCTATTGACAATGCTCACACACTTTGTAGACACGGCTGCTCGAACCTGGGTCCTCTTGGAGATACTTTAATTTATTGTAATGGGGAGTTTGGTAACATTATTAATGTGAAAAATTACAAAAGTATCTGCATTTACAAAATGGCGTACTTTGGGGACCATCAGGAGGTTCTCTTGTTGTATGTCTGTGGACCTAGCATATGGAATAGATGGCACCATGGCTTCTAATCCGGTTACTCTCATATTGTTCCTTCATTGGCATGTTCCTAATAAAACCTTGTTTCGATTACTGAATGCACCTTGATTGTTACTCCATTAGATGTTTGTATTGATCATTGGGTTCTTTTTATGTTGATCGATTGCAGCATCCGTATGTGTATGGGGTGTTAGTGTTTGAAGCCATGGCTACATTCATTGGTCAAGTATCTGTTTTATCCCTGATTGCCATTTTCGGTGCCGCAACGACTGCCATGGTAAAATAGACTTGTGATCTCGTAACCACATCATGATTTTCATCTACTCATACGCCCCTTGACTTGTTTCCTGCGTTTTTAGATAACAACTGCTAGAAAAGCTGTAACTCTGTTGTTGTCATACATGATATTTACAAAGCCGTTAACCGAACAGCACGGTTCGGGGCTGTTGCTGATATCCATGGGAATCATATTGAAGATGTTGCCGGAAAGTAAACCAGGACCAAGGGTTCAAAGATCAAATGGAAACGCCATGATGCAACCAAAAGCCTCTTCTAAAGAAGTGGCAAGTGTAGAAGATGATGGAGAAGAAGAACAGAGAAAACCCCTAGTCTGAAAAAAATAAGGGTTCAATTATTGAGGGGTTCAAGACTGACAATTCTTTTGCTGTCTGTTTTAAACGTGTTTTTTCAATATTTGTTTATGTGTGTGTGTTTTGTTGGGGGGGGGGGGGGTAAACGGCCTGCTTTTGCACGTTCTCATGTCGGTCTTTGTAATATTGCTCTGCCGAAGGGAAGCTTTCACGCAGAGGGGAAAACTCAGAAATAAATTAAGGGTAAACTATCTATTTAGTCATCATTTTATTACTTTATTTTTTTAATTATTCAATTATTTTTTCGTGTCAATCATATTCAACGTTTTTGTTTTGATCATCTTTCGTTGAAGTGTTTTTATTTAAATCATCTTTCGTTGAAGTGTTTTTATTTTAATCATCTATCGATGAAAAATTAATAGCATATGTCATAATCTTAAGAGAGTAAAATTAAGGTTTAATATAAAAAAGTAGTGCTCAAACTATACTTATTTTTTCAACATGGTACTAAAATGAACGTCCAAATTTCTAACCCTATACTTACCTTCTTTCTTGTTTGACCATGATGGTCGATGTTGACATCGTCCTTACCATCTCCATTGTTTGTTGTAGTCAAACTTGCCGATAGAGTTATCGCGTCTCGCGAATTTCAACAGTTTCGTGATATTTTTTAAAGTTTTCCAAAATTTTTGGGTTATTTTAATAAAAAATATTTAAAGTTTTTTTTATTATTTTAAATAAAATAAATGACCATCTAACTCAGTTGGTAGAGCACGAGGTTCTTAACCTTGGGGTCATGAGATCGAGTCCATGGAGGGCATTTCATAATTCGGAGGTCTCCTACGGAAGCTGCTCTCAACCTGGTGTTGGGGACAACCTACTATCTTACCTTCCCCTTACCCCATTACATATGGGAATAAGGGTCAGCTAATTTTATTATTTTAAATAAAATTTTCAAAATTACCAGAATTCGACAAATGTTACTTAACAGTATATTTAACGGCCGTTACGGTCCAAACATATATAATGATAACATTTGTAGTGTTAGACACTTGAATTGATCGAAAAAACATTTAGGTATCACTTCAGGAAAAACGTTATAATTTGGACACTTATTTTGTTATTAAGCTGAAAATCAAATAAAATTATAAAATTAGCCCTCTTAGACCTCGACTCTCTTGTAAGGGCCAGATTTATATTTAAATTAAACTATATTAGTGTAGACATATATTTCGTCCCTACATAAATAACTATATATATATATTATATAATATATAATTTATATGTTATATATATATTATATATGTTATTTACATATCCTTATTTCTCTTCTTTACAAGCCTAAATAAAAAAACGAAACCCATTACAAAACCAAGGATGCCCAACAAAAACACCCCAGTGGTCCAGTTCGATAGACGCGTGAACTAGGGTTTGAAAACCCTAATTTCCCATCCTTTGTTCCAGCCGCGCCGAACGGTCCCCCCAAGGTTCCCTCACTCTGCACGCCTCTCCAACAGTCCCGAACCGACCGGCGTCGTGTGAGGTATCAACATCAACAACCCACCACAACAAGTAAAGCAATAAGAGTTAGAGTTTGATTAGGACTCGAAATAGCCTAAAAAGAGGATTTTTATTCTTATAAATTCATGTAATCAAACACACGAAGGGCAGAGAGAGATTTATACAAGAAAATCACATGAAATATTGAGAGAAATACCGAGCAAGATTCGAAGTCTTTTTTTAACAAGTTTGAAGAGAAATAAAAGGGTAGCATTATTTTTTACCTTTGTTCGTTCGTTTTTTACTTTTGCATGATGAATGTTGCTTGAGATTTGGCTCGGAAATGACCAAAGATCGAACGTCGATGACCGAAAAGGGGTTGTTCGAAATATTTCTTTTTAGATCTACACCCATACGAGGCGTATTTTAAAAATCTATGTTGATTTCCGGAATGAGTGTGAAAGGGGCTAGAGAGAAATGAGAGAAAAGGGGTGGGATTTTGGTTTTCAAATGAAACTAATAAAGATTATTTTTTTAAGTCTTATAGTACACCCGTGGAGCCCGACCCATAACCTGTCAGACCCGCGTTTTTAGGAGTTAGTGGGGGAATCCACTTTTGGTCCTTTTGAGTTTAAAGTCTTTTAATTTACACCCTAAATTGAATTTAAACCCCGATCTCCTTTGATTTGGCCACTCGATTTGATTTTCTTTTCAATTTAACCCCCGTTAATTTCAATTCATGTTTTAATTTTGTAAATTTATTTAGTTATTCATTTTTTTCTTATTTTTGTTATATATTACATTTTATTAATTTTATTATATATATTTTATCATTAGTATTATTATATATATATATATAATTATTATATTTCCTATTTTATTTCCCATATTTTTTGTCTTTACTTTTGGTTTTCTATTTTATATTATTATTATTATTATTATTATTATTTTTCTATTTTACTTATTTTTTTATTTTTTATTTTTTCTCTACTTTTATCTTTTTGTCTCCCTTTTATTTGTTTCATTTATTTATTTATTTGCATTATCTTCTTATTTTTATTTAGTTGTTTACTATGAATATATTATTATTATTATCTTTCTTCATTTTATTTATTTTATTCATTTTTATCTTTACTTTATTTTTATTTTTTAATAATTTATTTTCTTTATTTTATATTATTTTCTTTATTTCATTCGTTTTTTTATTTTCTTTATTATTTATTTTCATTTTTTTCCAACACATTTTTTGACTTTTAAAGGGTACGTTTTCAATCAATCAGAGGTAAGTTTTGGATCGTTATTTTACCTTTCAATTTAAACTTATAACTTTCTTAATTAAAACAACGGGAAATTACGTAGTACCGAAATGGCAGTTCAAGGGTGCTAACCCTTCCTTGACTGTAACCGACTCCCGAATCCGACACATATTTAGTAAGACGTAGATCAGGTAAGAAATAAGGTATCCGATCAACCCATTTGTTTAAAAATAAATGATCGGTGGTGACTCCTAATCCATTTTCCTAAGTCGAAGCCTAATTCCAGGCCTACCTGAAAAACGGTTCCGACAGCTTGACGACTCTGCTGAGGACATGTAAGTGAGTCAGGCTAAGGTAATTTCCAGTTGTCTTTTTAACGAAAAGGGTAAGTTTAAATTTCAAGGTAACATTTCGATCCTTATTGCTTACTTTTGATTATATTTTTGAGTAAATAGTTGTACTAACCATTTTCTAATGATTTTAGCCTTTAAAGAATTTTCATCTAAGGCTCTAAACCCGAGCTCCAAACCCGTTTTTAAGTGGGGGTGAAAGCGACGCTCTCGTGAGAATTTATTCTTCGTATGGGCCTAGTAAGTAGCCTTCGGGATTCATATACCTTATGTTTCGTGTGAATTTATTCTTCGTATGGGCCTAGTAAGGCCCAAGGGGGCACTGGAAAGGGGAACTCGGGTACTGTTTTTTAGAACCTAAATCGAGAGACTATGGAGAAATAGAGCCTACCCCGAAACTCCATTTCAAACCTAGGACATTTTTTACCCTAACCATGCAATTTATTTATTTTTCTTATTTATCTCTTTATTTTCATTATTATTATTATTATTACTAACTTTTTTTTCGTGTTTGTTTTTTGGCATTTACATAATAAAAGAGGCTATTGATCCCTAAAAAGAGTTTTTTATACCCAAATAATATGAATTCATGGACAAAGGTATTGTAATACAAGAGATAAAAAATGCCGAGGTACGACTATAGTCCAAGAAAACTTAGAAAGAGAAGGGAGACAGTCTTCAGGGAAGCTATGTGTCAGAACTGGTCAGTTTTGCCTCTGTCAGCCTGAAGCAGAATGATGTCCAAGAGCTATAGAGTATTTGGGACAGTTGGAAAGACGACCGAAAGCATAAGTTCAGCCAGCGGTATGGTGATATCGCACTTCTACTCCATGTCAAGATAGACGAGCCCTTGATCAGAGTCTTGATTTAATTTTGGAATCTAGGGTACAACTGCTTCACCTTTAACCGGGAGGACATGGTGCCCACTATTGAGGAGTATACTACGTTGCTACTCTGTGAAAACATCAGACTGGAGCGAGACTATATTAAGCATATCAAGAGTCAACCTTTCAAAAATGGGTTGGCCAAAGTTGTGGGAGTGGACGAGAAATGGGTAACTGATCGGACTCAGCGCAGAGGCATCGGAGAAGGAATTCCTTGGTCTGACATCAAGCAACTAATGTAGAACAACCCTGATGAATGGTAGACAATAAACCTTTTTGCACTAGGTCTGTAAGGTTTTATTATCTTTCCGAAGACTTTTGGGTGCATTGACACAACCGTGGTGGAACTGTTTGAACAATTTCTGAAGCGAGTCAACCCAGCACCGGATATCTTATAAATCTTTCGATCTCTCAACCATTGCAGAAGAACCGGCGGAGAAATGTTCATTGGATGTGCTCAGCTCCTTCAAGTCTGGATTCACAGCCACTTCTGGAAGACTAACGAGGTTGCATACCGCTATTTCACCACCACTTATTCACCTTTGGAGAGTTCATCACTATGAAATGGCATAAAGGCACATCAAAGGAAAAGTGGATGAAAGTCTTTGCTCATCTTCAAGACCGAGACATTGCCTGGAGAGCCCCCTGGTTGTTCTACAGCGACATTATTTTTCGGTGTGGGGATTCTAACACTATGACCCTAATTAGACTATGGGGCGTAGTTGGATATTCTCCGCTGTTGGCACTTCGACAGTATGGGGCACGTTAGATTTTCCCGGCCACAACAGATTATCTGTATAAGAGTTTGTGTACCATGGTGATAACTATAAGAAGATGATCAAAGAGGTGGTTGAATCATGGAAGAGAGTGTTTCGGATGGGTGTCGTGGCTGCCAAAAACATACTTACTCTGGATTATTTGAGTGGCGAAGATTAAGGAAAAATGATAACATCCTGGTGCCAGACTGTGAGGACACTCGGACCATGGAGGAACATCTCAGGCATGCCCCTTTCGAACTTGAGATAGCAAAGGCA